ACCGTTTGTGAGCTTCAAGCTCAAAGCTGGCAACACCTTCACAAATGGAGGGCGGGTCGCTTCCAAAATGTGGTCCTCGCCTCAGCATCGCGCACATTCGTTCCGAACATGTGCCAGGGTTTCACGGATTGAGGGCGGGTCGTTTTGAAAATGCAGCTCGCCTTAGCGCCGCGCTCATTCGTTTTCAAACTGTTGCAAGAATTTCACGGATTGAAGGCGGTTCGTTTTCAAAATGCGGCTCTTGCCTTAGCGCCGCGCACATTCGTCTTAGAAAATGCAGGAGCTTCACGGATTGAGGGCGGCTCCTGTTCTAAATGTAGCTCTCGCCTTAGCGCCGCGCACACTCGGTTCAAAACTTGCAGGTGCTTCGCGGATTGCGGGCGGTTCCTTTTCAATATGCAAATCTCGCATTACCGCCGCGCATTTTCGTTTTAAAAAACTGCAGATGTTTTACATATTCCCATGGCTGACATACCAATGACGGTGTTTTGGAACGGTTCAGGACAATCATGGCGCAACAACTACGTTGATTCGCAGTGCTCAAATCCCGGAATGGTGTTCTGGCACGATTCCGGATGGCAAGACGCATCAGTCAGGTTGATTCGAGGCGTTGAAACCATGACAAGTGTGTTTTGGTACGCTTCAGGGTCGTCAAACGGTTGTTTTCCAACGGGGCACTTCCCTCAGTGGACATGAACCCTTGCAGGGGCCTGTGAAGAGGGAGCTTGGAGGAAGGCCTTATTCCAACACCAGTGGTGAACATCGGGTTTACACTGTTCCTCATCCTCCTCTTATTATTACTATTATGTTCCGTCTTATTATGATTATTATTATGCACCTTATTGGTATTATTCTTACGATTAGTATTATCATTACTAATCCTCATCCTCATCCTCAGCATCATCAACATCATCAGCATCATCATCAGCAGCATCATCATCATCCTCGCCCTCCTCTTCCTACTAATCCTCCTCCTCCCTTTCTCCTTCCTCCTGTATCGTCCCCCTCCTCCTCTTCCTCCTCCTCCTCTTCCTCCTCCTTCTCCTCCTCATCATCTTCCTGCCTCAACCCCCTTCCTGCTCCTCATCATCGTCGTCCCCCTCCTGGACGGCGGCGCTCATCACCTCTTAGGCGCATGCTGGCCCCCACCCCATCCGCGCACGCGCACGTATTATCGCGCGCGCAGATTCTCCACCCCAAAATTCGATCCCTCGCCTGCGGCCCCGCTTTGGCCCAAAACGTGTGGAAACACACGCCCCGCGCGCACGCGCCAGGCGCATGCTGCCCCCCCCCCCACCACCACCACCCACCCCACACCTCCGCGCGCATGCATTTCTACGTATAAAAATGTCGCCACCCCCAAGGTCGGGACCCCCGGGACCACGCGGACATGCGAAAACACGTGCCCCGCCCGCACGCGCCAGGGGCATGCTGGGCCCCCCCCATCCGCGCACGCATCTCCACGCGTGAAGAATTCGCCACCTGCAAGCTGGGTTCCCCCCGCTTGCGGCTCCGTCGTGGCCCGACACACGTGAAGACACGTTTTCCGCACGCACGCGCCAGGCGCATGCTGGGCCACCCCTCCGTTGCCACCCACCCCTCCGCGCACGCAATTCTACACGTCAAGAACTAATTCGCCACTCCCAGGTTGGGTCCCCCTGGGGCCCCGTGGAGGCATGAAAGCACGAGCCCAGCGCGCACGCGCCTAGGGCCATCTTGCCCCCCCCCTCCCCCCGCGCACGCATTTCCACTGTCAAGATTGCGCCGCCTGCAAGATGGGTCTCTCGCCTGCGGCCCCGTCGCGGCCCGAAACGCGCGAGAGCACGCGCTGCGTGCGCACTCGCCAGGCGCCTGTTGGCGCCCCCCTCCGCTGCCACCCCCTTTCCGCGCACGCAATTTCAACGTGCAAAGAATTCGCCACCCCCAAGTTGGGAGCAGGAGGAGTGAGGAGCAGGAGGAGCAGGAGGAGCAGGAGGAGGGAGGAGGAGGAGGAGGAGGAGGAGGAGGAGGAGGAGGAGGAGGAGGAGGAGGAGGAGGAGGAGGAGGCGGAGGAGGAGGGAGGAGGAGGAGGAGGAGGAAGAGGAGGCAGAGGTACCCCTGGGGCCCCGTGGGCACGTGAAAGCACGTGCCCCGCGCGCACGCGCCGGGGGCCCGCTGGGGCCGCCCCCCTCCGCGCACGCATGTCCTACGCACAGAGACATCGCCACCTGCAGGTGGGGCTCCCCTCGCTTGCGGCCCCGTCGTGGCCCGAAACTCTTTTTGGGTCTGCGGGTCGGGAGCGGGCCCCTTCTGGTCAAGAGCTAAACGGGGCGCGAGTAGCCCTAATTGGGGAGACAGGGCGCGGGCGGGCAGGGCCTCAGGCGGCCCGAGGGCTCAGAGTACAGGCGGTGCCGAAGAACTTGCACAGGACAAGGTACGCCATGGACTGGTCGTGGCCCGAGACACGTGAAGGCACGTGACGAACGCGCACGTGCTCAGACTCATGTCGGACCCCCCAGCC